AAAGATGTCCAAATAAAGCTCAAAAGGGTGAAGCAATATTCATTTAGGTGTTTAAGTAGGAAAAATAAATTGGGATTTCTAACTAAATTTGAGATTAGTTATAAAAGTTAAAATAATTACCCTTTAGAAATACATAAGGATAAAAATAATCACCTTTAGCGATATATAAGGCTAAAATTATCACCCTCTCAGAATATATATATTTTTAGAAAAATAGGATTATATACTTTGTCAACAAAAAATAAATATAATTGTAGAATGAGTCTCAATAGTTAGGCCTATTTTTATACTCTTTACATCACTCCTTTATAAAATATACTGATTATTCTTATTATTATTATTTTATCAAACATTGCTAAAAACTTTAATCTTTTAACATGCTATTTCAAATTTTAGATATGCCAACAGGTTCAAATACAAGGTACATACATATATATGTCATACATATAAAGGTATATATTCTATATTTTCTCCATATAACCTAGTATTATCTACAATCTCTTTTACTAATGTTATTTATTTATTTTTATAATATATAAATGCCTACACTTAAATTTACATATTACTTTACTACATATAATCTATCGTCAATTTGTCTATACATGTAAATAAATAATAAGTGTTCATATGTTCTAAACAACTTACATGTATACACTATACTTTATAATAAACATAATTTTTATTCTATCTAATATTTTAATATTTAGTATCATTATTATTTATTTATTTTAATTTTTTAGGAAACTCTATTTTATCCAAATTACATATTACATATTACTACTTATTTACACTCCGCTACTATCTTATTTTATTTTCACGTCTTAATGAAATGACGTATTTTCATAAATTCAACATCTATATATTTCTTAGGATAATTCTACTATGATACATCTATATTTTTTTAACATATAAAAATTAACATACTTTTAAGTACATCTATTTATTTATTTATTTTTTACATGATAAAAAACTACTATTAAATCTATTTTATAAGGCATATATATGTCATATCTTGTATATTATTCTTTTCTTAAACTAACCAATTAACTTATCATTAATTTTTAAAACAGATAAATAAACAAGTTTTCCTAATCATATTTTTCTAAATTGAGTTTAAGGACTATCTTCGGATAGGCTCTGAGGGGTGCCTAACACCTTCCCCTCGAGTAACCAAAACCCTTACTCAGAATTTCACTGGTTTCGCAAATCAAAATAGAGTTTACATTTACATATTTTAAAAAATGGTTTTCCTAATATTTTCCTTAAAATTTAGGTGGCGACTCTAAAAACAAAGCAAATTTTTTTCAAAATCAGAGTGACAGCCATATTATGTTGTGAACTGTTTCGGCTTGTTCGAAATAGGGTGCGACACTCACCAAAAGCTATCAAGAAGTGTGGAATGATCTCAACGGAGTGCATGTTGATGATCCCGAACACCTATATCTGCGACATAAAATAATGCAGGTCAAACTATGTAAGTACAATAAATGTACAAGTATGTAATATGGATTAGTAATATAATAACTGGATTGATGACTAGATACATATCAAGCAAAACAATGTATATGGAAGTAGTGAAAACTATTTGTACTTTACAGTAAGGTATGCAATATAAGCAATATGAAAGTATAAAACTTTCCTCTGTGGGAAGTTACTCTAACTGACAACTATCACTATGAGCCTAGCGGTGATACAATGTTGCACCAATATTTCAAGGGCACCCTATACTTTTCTATGGTATATGATGCTAACTATAATTGTGGATCCCTCTAATAAGCCTTCTTTAGGCACTGATGAGTCACCTAAAAGTTGATACGATCCTATCGTACACTGGCTACGTAGTTTTATGGGGCTTTGATTTAAAAATAGAATCTTACCTTGTAACACTTCAAAAGTGTAAAAAGTTAATTGGAAGTTGGGATGAGAAAAAGGCATTTGGAAATCTATGAAAAGTAGAAATGTAAGGACGAGTTCAAGAAAGGTGAAAGGGTTCATGGTCAGTGAACCCAACCTTGAACCCGAGCCTTGTGAAAAATATTCTAAGTCAAGGGTCTAAGGAAGGGTTCAAGTATGGTGGAAGGGTCCAGAGTTAGTGAATCCATCATTGAACCCGACCCTTGTGAAAAGTATTCTAAAGTAAGGGTCTAAGGAAGGGTTCAAGTATGGTGGAAGGGTCCAGAGTTAGTGAATCCATCATTGAACCCGACCCTTGTGAAAAGTATTCTAAAGTAAGGGTCTAAGGAAGGGTTCAAGTACGGTAGAAGGGTCCACAGTTAGTGAACCCATCCTTGAACCCCAGCCTTGTGAACGATTCTAAGACAATGGCTTAAGGAAGGTTTCAAGGACAGTGGAAGGACCCACATTCAGTGAACCTATCCTTGAACCCGAACCTTGTGAAAATTATTCTAAGGCAATGAATCACGAATAGTTTCACGGATAGTAAAAGGGTCAATAGATGGTAGGCCCATCTGTGGAGATTGACTTAGAAAATCCTAGACGCTTCACATACGGAGAAACGATTAATGGTCTGTGAAAGGCTTCTGTAGAGGGTGTTTCAGCAGTTTTTAAGCCAGGGGTATTTGGGTCTTCTTTTATGCATTTAATACCTAAAATATGTCGTTTTGATCCTAATTCTAATCCCTATATAAGATTTCTAAGTCCTAAAATTAGCCATTCTAAATTCATTCTCCTAATTCCAAATCTCAACCAAATTCATCCTCCTTAATTCTCTCTCAAGCTAAGGAACAAGAAGCTAGTGTTTCAATTCAAAGTCTTCAATTCACCATTTTGGGCGCTTTGATTATCAAGGTATTTAGGATTTCACCATTGGATTTCATTCATCTAGTGGGTCCCAAAGGATTTCTAAGTTTCCTATTCAATTTCTCCTAAATTGTTTAGGTTTCATGTGATCTTCATGAGTCTTAATTGATGTTGATTAAATTGTTCAATTTCAATCTTCCTATGTATGTGTATATTAAACTATGATTTCATATTGATTTCTATAAGACTCATGCATTATTCATGATTTTAACTATGAATTTATGAAGATATGAGTTTATGAAGAAAGCTATGGATTTGTGACTGATGATTTATGAAAGTTTATGCATGATTTATGAAAATATGTTTTATGATCTAAATGTTGCTTTCAAGATAAGCATCAATTAAATTGTGAAATGATTTCTCACATTGAGAATCAAGAGTGGTGAAAGGTTTTCTCACACATAGTTTAAGGAACTACTCTATAATGATTTTTAATCTTGGATTAGTAACTAAATTGTGATTTTACATGTATGATGATTATGTTAATGAAATTGACTATTCCGTTGGGATTTAACTTAGCACCAAGAAAACTTTGAGGTGGAGGCTCAAATAGGGTAGTGTCTAGTAGCAACCTCTAGTTATAAACTACGTGCCCACTTAGGATTGTCTTAAATGACCCATCGAAGCCCTATTCTGTGTATATTCCGTAATAGGGTTATCAAATGGTCGACTGCGAAACCCATCAAAGTTGCAAAATTGTATACTATTACGATGTCCTCAATCGACGATCGTTCAACGGACTACTTTTGTGATGTATGTCACATGAAGAAGCTCAGCAAGGCTTGCAAGAAGTACATGCTTTACTAATAGCATATGATATGATACAGTGTCCTACCTTGGCAAGTAAACTCCCCCTTCTCGATGTGGCAGTTACATCTGGTTCCATGTTATAGCTCACATGGACTACAATCCAGGGGCGGATCTATGAAGGGGTGTGGGGGTGCCACGCCACCCCCGAACTTCGACGGAAACTCTCTCTCTCTATATATATATATATAATATTTACATAGGTATATATACATAATATTTATATAAATATAAAGTGTGCCACCTAGAGAACAAAATTGGCTTGTGGTGCCACGGCAGGAGGGCAACTTTTGAAGGCTAATGTTGCGGGTTCGAATCCTATTTGTACCTATTTTTTTGAGAAATTTGTTGCAGACGTTTTTTAAGAAAATAAAAGGCTCCAAGCACCTTTTTTTAAGGAAAAACAGCTGGCACATTTTTATTTTATAATTGTTATTGACTTTAATTACATTATTACTCCTTTGACTTTCTTTTATTTGATTAAATACAAATAAAAGTGTTCTCTTTCTCTTCAACTATTTCCAAACCCTTTTTCCTCCAAGTTTCAACTTCTCCAAAATTTTCATTGTCCCATTCCGAACCCAAATCACTTGTTGTCGTTGTCGTTGCCACCCCCGCCCGTCTTAGCATTCCGTCCAGCAGCTAAGCCTCATTTGGGTGCAATTGTTTTCACTTTTCTCCATCCATCCACAACCTTTTATAGATTGTAAGTTTGTAATTCTATTTTTGTAAGCTTTTTTTTATTTCTATTTCTTGAGTTCTTTTAAGTTTTAATGAGTGATGATTGATTTCATATTAGACAAGAGTTTTGATTTTACTTTGATATTTCTAAATTTCTAATGAACATTGTAAGACATTATTGGTTAAAAATTATGTGATATGAACCATGTTAATTTGAATTAACTATGACTTACCCTATTTAATTTTGTAGGAAAAAGAGTACTAATTGCTCACTATAACCCTCGAATAAAGGATGAAGTGAGGAACCATTATATTCGAAAAGGGCCTTGTCAACCTAAAATGGATTCATATCCTCCAACTGAAATTGGAAAAAGAATGCGTCAATTTTGTAAACTTTGGTTTGAAGGTGCATATTCTAAATGGTTGGAGTATAGCGTGGAGAAAGATTATGTCTATTGTCTATGTTTTTATTTATTCAAAGATGATTTTTCCATGGAAGTACAAATGAGTTTTACACAAAATCGGGTTTTAGGAGTTGGAATAGGGCACTTGAAATATTCCGTAAATATGTTGGTGATGTTAATAGTATTCATGACAAATGCTTCAACAAGATGCTAGATTTGTCAAATCATCATCAATCAATTCAAATTGTTCTTGATAAGCATTCTCAAAAGTTAAAAAATGAGTATCGAATGCGTTTGGAAGCCTCGATTGATGTGTCAAGACTTCTTTTGCAATATGGATTACCTTTTCGAGGTCACGATGAAAGTGAATCTTCAATTAATCAAGGCTTCTTTCTAGGTTTTTTGCGATGGCATGGGGACAAACATCTGGATGTGGGAAAAGTGATATTAGAAAATGCCCCACAAAATGATACTTTGACTTGTCCTATGATTCAAAAAGATATTGACAATGCTTGTGCAAAAAAAACATTGAAAGCAATAATTGGGGACTTGAATAGAGATTACTTTGGTATATTAGTTGATGAGTCAAAAGACATCTCTCACAAAGAACAAATGGCTCTTGTTTTGCGTTTTGTTAATAAGAATGGTGAAGTAGTTGAACGATTTATCGATCTTGTCCATGTTAGTGATACATCGGCATGTTCATTGAAGAAAGCAATTTATTCTTTGCTTTCTGTTCACTCACTAAGTCCATCCAAAATACGTGGACAAGGTTATGATGGGGCTAGTAATATGAAAGGAGATATAAATGGGCTCAAAACTTTTGATTATGAAAGATAGTCCATCGGCATATTACATTCATTGTTTTGCTCATCAATTGCAACTAACACTAGTGGCTATTGCTAAAATCATTTGGATGTTGAAGACTTTTTTTATCATGTTAGTAATGTGTTGAATGTTGTTGGAGCATCTTTCAAGCGTAGAGACTTACTTCGTGATCACCAAGCCAAAAAGTTAGAGAAATTATTTGAATCCAGTGAAGTTCAAAAAGGCCAAGGATTACATCAAGAATGTGGGCTTCAAAGACCAGGTGATACTCGTTGGGGATCACATTTCAAAACTTTTGATAACTTTATTATTATTTTCTCATCTACTGTTCATGTTCTTGAAGTGATTGAACTTGAAGGGTCCACATCAAGTGATAGAAATCAAGCGGAGTATCTTTTGACAAAGATTAAAAACATTTAAAATTTATTTTTGTGCTTCACTTGATGTTGAAAGTGTTGACAATGTCAAATGAGTTGAGTAAGATTTTACAAAAAAAAGATCAAGATATTGTTAATGCCGTGGAGTTTCTTAATATTACAAAGAAAAGATTGCAAGATATGAGGGAAAATGGATGGGAATCTTTGTTGGATGATGTTTCCTCATTTTGTGATGTGCATGATATCTTGATTCTCAGGATGAGTCTTACTTCCCCGGAAAGTCAAAACATAAGTCTTCGGGTGTTAGTTATGCGCACCAGTTGCGTGTTGAAGTCTTTTTTGTTGTCATTGATGTGCAACTTCAAGAGCTTAATGACCGTTTTGATGTAGTGAGTAGTGATTTACTTCTTTGGATGGGTAGCTTGAATCCGGTCAATTCTTTCTCCAATTTTGACAAAGGCAAAATCATGACTTTAGCAAAGTGTTATCCAAGTGAGTTTGATGAGGGAAAAATTCGATATTTGAGCTACCAACTCGATACTTTCATTATTCATATACAATGACTTTAGCAAAGTGTTATCCAAGTGAGTTTGATGAGGGAAAAATTCGATTTAAATATTTCATACTATTGGTGGTGAATTTAATTATTATTATAATATTAACTGAAAGTTAATATAAAAATCTATAAATTTTAAATTATGAATTCTCCTTGAAATAGGTGAATCGACAAGTAATTCAAATAAAAAGAGAAATACAACAAAAAAGAAAAAAATAAATCAATTAATAGACAGTGCTATATTGCATGTGAAATATTGAATGTAAAAGTAAATTCTAAGGCTTTCTCTCAATTCAAGTTACAGCAAAATGCATGCTCCCAACCTGTCAACAGACTGGAAAATAAGGATAAGCCACATAGTATTAACTTCCTCATCTGTAACAAAGTTAGATAGAGTCAATTCCCTAAATGGTCACCCAAGTTTAGAGAATTGCCTTGAAATATCATTTATGTTTTATTTAGGACCAAAATATCACTCAACTATCACTATTTTCCTCCAAATATACTTACCACTTCAAAAGCCCCACTCTCTCCTACTTGACATGCCATGTCATTGAAGCCTTTTTAAAAAATAATAGATTTATTTAATTCATTAAACTCAATTAACTAAAACAATGATCTTACTATTTTTTAATTACATATATTAGTTTATTGAGAAGAAAATTCATACTTAAAAATCTTTTATCATAATTAACTTTTTATTTTTTATGCTATGAAGAATAGGTTTTTTAAAACTTACTATAATGTCATCAATTTTTAATACTTATAAACACATATATTCAAAAAATATTGATATAAAAATCACTGATGAAAATTAAATTAAAAATAAAAGTTAAATAATAAATTTCTCCTTTTTACCAACTATTTTATCAACCTTACAATTTTATTTGAATACTTTTATGAAAAAATTACTTAAAATTTTCAAAGAGATTTAAAAAATTCTCAGGTAACAATTGCACACAAAAAAATTCACTGAATTTTGTTTTGTAGAAAAATATGAAGGAATTAGATATATTAAAAGTATTTTTTTATAATCTGCATAAATTTTCACGTAATTTATATATTTATTTTGTAGAGGCATAAATGTAATGAATTAAATAAGTTTAAGGGTCTGCATATGTGTTTGACCTTAAAAAAATGGTGATTTAATGGCATGTCATATCAACTAGAATAGGAGGAGACTTTTGAGGCATTTAGTATTTTTTTTTGGGAAAAAAATTAATAATAATATTATTCACTTTCTATTTATTTTTTTTAAAGAAATATTGTAAGCATGAATTTCAAAGTACACAATTAATTCTATAGTAATAGTTAATTGACATTTAATGTTATTGATTCATTATACAATTTATGATTAATTGATGTAAGTTAACATTTATGAGTGATTTGTATACCAATATTTTTATTTGAACATATGTGTTTATAAGTATTCAAAATTGATGATAATTAAATGAGTTTGATGAATTAAATAAGTCTATTATTTTTAAAAAAAAGACTTTAATAACATGGCATGACAACTAGGAGAGAGTAAAGTTTTTAAAGTGTTAAGTATATTTGGAGGAAAATAGTGATAGTTGGATGATATTTTGGTTCTAAGTGAAACATAAATGATATTTCAAGGCAATTCCCCAAACTTGGGTGACCATTTAGGGAATTGACTTTGTGTTACATAGAGCGTGATGTATTTATAAATGTTAGTAATGATGTCATTATCGATCGTTTTCAGAATATGAAAACTCGCCGAGGACAATTGTAAATGAATGATGAATATTTATAATATTAGTAATATTATTGAAAGTTTTAAATTTGTTAACTTCATGCTTTTAGTGTGGAGTGTGGATTTGTAATATCTTATTATTTATATTTTATTGATTGATTGATTTATGATATATATCGAAAAGACGAATAATTTAATCAAATATAAAATTAATTTAATCAATAAGTTTATTTGGCACCCACAGACTCTAAATCCTGGATCCGCCACTGCTACTATCTCACAAAATAAACTATGTTGCTTTCAATGGTTTTTATAGAGTTTTCCTTGTGATTTTAAGAGTCATTAACCATGTTCATGTCTAATGATTCTTCTTTAAATGTTTTACTATGTTTATCTTGGTTATGCATATCATGTTTTCCTATTATGTCCCTTTATGATCATGTTTTCATGTTTATGCATATCCCTCATACTTAGTACATTCCATGTACTAATGCATACTTGTGCCTACGTTGTCTAATAATGTAGGGTGTGACGCTTCCTCTCCTCCCACTTGTGGCTAGATTCGGATTTGCTACATTTGAAAATTTGGTGAGTCCTCATGTTCTGAGGACCATGTCACATTTACTTACTTTTCTTATGTTTTTAGTTTCAGACATTGTACGTGTTTTACAGGTTACGTCCCGGCCACTTCTTTTGATGTATTAGATTGGCTTGTCGAGACTATGTTCGACTTTCGCTTTTATGTCAAACTCTTAAATAATATGAGACTTTCTACTTTTGTCTATTATATTGTGTTGGATGTATGTCAAGCGGCTTTTTTAGGGTCTATCGGGGTCTTATACGACATGTCACATCTGGGTATACTTTGGGTCATGACATACTCGATTTGGTGCTCGATACTACTCCCAAAATAATCAATATCAATATTCTCAAAGAACTTTCTTTACTTTAATTTCACTTTACTTTACTGAAGTACCTTTCAAAAAATCAAGTATACTCTTTCTCTTTCTCAAACGTTACATATTACATATGATATCATTTTATTCTTTCTATAAAAGCTCCTTTCAAAACATGTATTTAAAACGTATACTTCTGGACTCACCTTTCCGGTCCAAAATCAACGTATAAGAAATTTCATATAAAAATCTCTATAAACATGACTTTTATAAACAATTGGGTTCATGTGATAAGAAGCATGAACAATGAATTTTAGAATTCAATATGCATAATAGAATTCAAAATCTCAACGGTTAAGGAATCAAAACTTAGAATAAGAAACACAATTGAATTTAGATTTCAAGAGACTACAGATAAAACTCTGAACATAACCTTTTAATGAATGAACTTAGATGTAGGTGGTGATGACGAACTTAGTCCATCACTATAAATAGCCTTACATACCTAGAAGAACAAAGTTCTTTACAAAACTAGAAGAAGGATTGAAAAACCTAGCTTTCACCTCTTGGATACTTGTTCTAAGACTTGAAAGAGTTAATGAGACTAATAGGGTTGACTAATACTGTTTAGAACCTTTTTTAGGTGTAAGAACATTGGGGTTTAGTCATAGCGGGGTGGGAAAAGACTAAATTACCCCTCTTAAAAAAGCTATTGAAAACCTTCCAGGGTCCATCTACCGTTCGTTGTTTTATCTACGAACCCTAGATCCCATCTGTGAAATTGATAATGAAATTTTAAGGCTGAGAAGTTCATTCTATGGGTCCTAACTATGACCCGTAGAAGTTCCTACGACCCGTAGATGGATCCATAAGAATTAAACCCAAAATTTTGACTCCTAGTACTTTTTCCACGTGTGAAAAGTATGGATCTTAGAAACTTCTACGGCCCGTAGAAGTGATTCATAGGTCACTTACTCAAAAAGCTCTGTTGTGATAGTCTCAGCTAAAATGGTTATAACTTTTTACTGCAAACTCGAAATAAGGCAAACTTGGTGGCATTGGAAAGATAACTCATATATCTTTAATTTGATATGTTTTGAGCCACCTAATTTGTTATGTTCCGAAAGATATGATCGTTTGAAGTTCACCTAAGTAGAATTTTATATCAAAACTTAATCGATAAGGAAATTTTCAACTCAACTTTGTGCTAGGGGATTCTAGTGACCTTAATTCATATCCGAATTCATTCTCACACTAAAGAATTGATCTTAACACCTAAGAGCAGTTTAAGAATCACACGATACAAACTTACATGCAAATGAAGAATGATTTGGGACTTAGCTTTGAAATATTCAAGGTGTTACACTTGTGTAATTATATATTTTGTTGCCTCATTTATATTTTGACTATTAACATGAATGCATATTATATTCCTATATTTACTTCTTTTTTTCTATTGCCCTTTCATTATTTTTATTCTCTTATTATTCAATATTTTGAAGTCTCTCAAATGGTCAAACCTTTTCCACAAAATCCATTGTTGCGTGTTTATAAAACAATCAAATTGCATCTTCTTAAAATTTCAAGCACTGCAACATGTCAACACTATTTCAATAACATCATACCAACTCACTAAATTCAATGCAATAATATTATTATAATAAACTTTGTATTCGATCAAACTAAAATACTTAAATTGAGACGAATAACGTAAAATAATTTGAACTATTGTGCCCCAAGTATAGAGAAAGAGACCTAACCTTGAATGTAGATTATTGCCATGTGACGAAAAATCTGTGAATGAAATGATGTTTGAGAAATCAACGGTAAGAGACAACGTATCTGTTTCTTAGGGACCAATAATGAATGGATTATAATCGTTGGACAGAAAATGGACGTGCACATCAAAATATTGATTTCTTGCCAAACATGTCGTGTCATCCATTTTTTTTTCAAATTGATGTGATTGCCAAAATATGGATAACAATAAATAGAAATAATTTCGATATAAATTTTGAAGTAGAAGGGCTAACACATTTAAATTTCGATATAAATTTTGAACATAAGTAATTTTTAATGTATTCAAAAATAATTTACATAACAATTATTTTAAGGCATAATAATTAATTTTAATTTAATATATTTAAAAAACACATGGTCCAGAAATATAATCACATAAATTAAGACAAATATAATATTATAATTATTTAAGTGTTATATTAAATTTGTATAGTTCATCGCACTATATTTGAGTATAACATTGTTCTAGAAATAATCAAAATGTAACATAATTTATTTGTAAAGTGACCAATATAACACGCGTCAATTCAAGGTTAAATCCGAATATTGGAGTATCACAAAGGACCAAAGTCAACATTCATAAAGAATCAAGGGACTAAAAGAGCAACTATTCCTTCTAAATAATTTATAGCTAAGTAAAATAATTTTCTTCCACTATAAATTCCTCTCAATAGTTAGTAAAGTGTCATATACACAATTCTTGAAGAAAAAGAGGGAAAATGGAGAAGGGTAATAAAAATCACTTTGTACTAGTTCATGGAGCTTGTCATGGTGCATGGTGTTGGTACAAAGTTGTGACAATTCTAAGAAGTGAAGGACACAAAGTTAGTGTTCTTGACATGGCTGCCTCTGGAATTAATCCAAAACATGTTGAAGATCTCAATTCAATGGCTGATTACAATGAACCATTGATGGAATTTATGAATTCTTTGCCACAACAAGAAAGAGTTGTTTTAGTGGGACACAGCATGGGTGGCATCAACATATCTCTTGCCATGGAAAAGTTCCCTCACAAGATTGCTGTGGCTGTGTTTGTCTCAGCTTCTATGCCTGGTCCTGACCTCAATCTTGTAGCCGTTACCCAACAGGTTTGCTCATATGAATTTAATTTCTATAGTCTAACACTAGTACTAGAAATAAGGAATTAATGACTGATAAAATTTCATACTAATCTCATTTAGCTATGAAATAACAATGGATTATATGAAAGTAGGATCTATTTAGCGACGAATTAAATTGGGTTTATCGAAAAGTTTCGTAGCTATCCTGCTTTTATTTTTCAAGTCACATGTTGGTCTACTTTATATAAACAGACTTCTATAACTGTGCATAAAGGTTATTTTTGTAGATCACTCTATATAATAGAAGCACCTATAATCCTATATAACAATAAGACACAAAAACCAGGGACATAAATTGAATAAGAATTGAACATATAAACACATTGAATATTCTACAGAATTATCTTACTTATCTATGCTTTTATCTAACTGAACAAGTTGCTTGATGTGTTTCAATTATAAGGTAAAAACAGTAAAGTAAAAAACACATTACTTAACGTGGAAACACTCGGCTTAAAAGGTATAAAAAACCACGACTTGTTCCACAACCCAATTTACTCCCCAACTTCAATAGAACAATGAGCCTCAACAAACAGGATTACAAACCTATGGAATGTACGAAATTATCAATTAAGCACTATCTAGCACAAACCTCCGAGGCTTGTGCTCCCAAGTCTTCGAGTTGCCCTCAACTTGAAGACTATGATCCTATTTTAGTTTATAACTTACTGAACTATCAATACATCAAGACACAAACACAAAGATATACTTCTTAGAACATAAATTATATAGCAGGACTTGGTTCTTCAAAGTGTTACTTCAAAGTTCAGCTGCACTTCAAAAAACTCAATATGCCAATTGCCTTTTTGCTATGTAAGTGATTAAGTCTTCAATGTGTCTTTTCCTCTATTTAAACACATCTATCATAGCATTTCACATCAACCAGACTCCTTGCCAGAAGCCACTTCTTCTACAACTCGACCTCTGTTGTCTTTGAGTTGAACTCCTCCTTTCATCAAACGACAAGCTTCTTTCTTCATCGGTGTTGTTATTGAACTTCAACTCTTCACTCAGACTTCTTGCGCTTTATCTTGTAATTAACATTATCCACTCAGTGATTCCTGCACACTTGTCCTTACTCACTTTGTTTGCCTGTTCTTGGATTTTTCCAGCTTAGTTCATTATTCTTCTGGAACATGCTGACTAACATGTTTTAAATTGTATTTATCAAATCATCTTAACTTCATTACACCAAAAAATTCCCCCCTTTTGATGTTGACATATTATTCGTTATTTGTGCATCCTTGACCAATGGCAGATCCAGGATTTAGAGTCTGTGGGTGCCAAATAGACTTATCGATTAAATTAATTTTATATTTGATTAAATTATTCGTCTTTTCGATATATATCATAAATCAATCAATAAAATATAAATAATAAGATATTACAAATCCACACTCCACACTAAAAGCATGAAGTTAACAAATTTAAAACTTTCAATAATATTACTAATATTATAAATATTCATTTACAATTGTCCTAGATGAGTTTTCATATTTCTGAAAACGATCGATAATTACATCATTACTAACATTTATAAATACATCACGCTCTATGTAACACACTAGACAATCATTTAAATATTGATTACCAATACTATTCCGCACTTCATTTTTATGTGCTTAATTGACGAAAATGCTCTCTCCACAGTTGTCGTAGCAACAGGTAAAATCAAAGTCAACTTTACAAGTAAATAAACAAGTGAATAAGTCTCCGCAAGATTTGCTTCAACCAATGCCTTCGCCAAATCACGAATTCCTTGCAAGTTAGAGAACTTGGGATTACCACTTCGTATATGAATAATGAAAGTATTGAGTTGGTAGCTCAAATCTCGAATTTTTCCATAATCAAACTCACTTGGATTATACTTTGCTAAAGTCATGATTTTACCTTTGTCAAAATTAGAGAAAGAATTGACCAGATTCAAGCTACCCATCCAAAGAAGTAAATCACTACTCACTACATCAAAACGGTCATTAAGCTCTTGAAGTTGCACATCAATGACAACAAAAAGACTTCAACACGCAAGTGGTGCGCATAACTAACACCCGAAGACTTACGTTTTGACTTTCCGGGAAAATAAGACTCATCCAACTTGGGAAATCAAAATATCATACACATCACAAAATGAGGAAACATCATCCAACAAAGATTCCCATCCATTTTCCCTCATATCTTGCAATCTTTTCTTTGTAATATTAAGAAACCCCACGGCATTAACAATATCTTGATCATTTTTTTTGTAAAATCTTACTCAACTCATTTGACATTGCTAACACTTTCAACATCAAGTGAAGTACAAAAATAAATTTAAATGTGTTAATCTTTGTCAAAAGATACTCCGCTTGATTTCTATCACTTGATGTGGAGCCTTCAAGTTCAATCACTTCAAGAACATGAACAGTAGATGAGAAAATAACAACAAAATTATCTAAAGTTTTGAAATGTGATCCCCAACGAGTATCACCTGGTCTTTGAAGCCCACATTCTTGATGTAATCCTTGGCCTTTTTGAACTTCACTGGATTCAAATGATTTCTCTAACTTTTTGGCTTGGTGATCACGAAGTAAGTCTCTATGCTTGAAAGATCCTCCAACAACATTCAACACATTACTAATATGATCAAAAAAGTCTTCAACATCCAAATGTTTTTTAGCAATAGCCACTAGTGTTAGATGCAATTGATGAGGAAAACAATGAATGTAATATGCCGATGGACTATCTTTCATAATCAAAGTTTTGAGCTCATTTATCTCTCTTTTCATATTACTAGCCCCATCATAACCTTGTTCACATATTTTGGATGGACTTAGTGAGTGAACAGAAAACAAAGAATAAATTGTTTTCTTCAATGAACATGCCGATGTATCACTAACATGGACAAGACCAATAAATCGTTCAACTACTTCACCATTCTTATTAACAAAATGCAAAACAAGAGCCATTTGTTCTTTGTGAGAGATGTCTTTTGACTCATCAACTAATATACCAAAGTAATCTCCATTCAAGTCCCCAATTATTGCTTTCAATGTTTCTTTTGCACAAACATTGGCAATATCTTTTTGAATCATAGGACAAGTCAAAGTATCATTTTGTGGGGCATTTTCTAATATCACTTTTCCCACATCCGAATGTTTGTCCCCATGCCATCGCAAAAATCCTAGAAAGAAGCCTTGATTAATTGAAGATTCACTTTCATCGTGACCTCGAAAAGATAATCCATATTGCAAAAGAAGTCTTGACACATCAATTGAGGCTTCCAAACGCATTCGATACTCATTTTTTAACTTTTGAGAATGCTTATCAAGAACAACTTGAATTGATTGATGATGATTTGACAAATCTAGCATCTTGTTGAAACATATGTCATGAATACTATTAACATCTCCACATGTTTATGGAATATTTCAAGTGCCCTATTCCAACTCCTAAAACCCGTTTTTTGTGTAAAACTCATTGTACTTCCATGGAAAAAATCATCTTTGAATAAATAACAACATAGACAATAGACAGAATCTTTCTCCACGCTATACTCCAACCATTTAGAATATGGACCTTCAAACCAAATTTTACAAAATTGACGCATTCTTTTTCCAATTTCAGTTGGAGGATATGAATCCATTTTTGGTTGACACGGCCCTTTTTGAATATAATGTTTCCTCACTTCATCCTTTATTTGAGGGTTATAGTGAGCAATTGGTACTCTTTTTCCTGGATCGGCTTCAAGTGAATCTAAATTAAGGTCATCTATAAGACTAGAAGGATTGACATTCGTACTAGAACTTGCTTGAGAATGGTTAAATTTCACAAGAAACTTCTCCATCTCAATTCACAAAACTAGAACACTTTCCTACAAAAATTAAAATTCAATTCAACTCACAATTAATTCAAATTTAATAGGGTAAGTCATAGTTAATTCAAATTAATATGGTTCATATCACACAATTTTTAACCAATAATATCTTACAATGTTCATTAGAAATTTAGAATATCAAAGTAAAATCAAAACTCTTGTCTAATATGAAATCAATCATCACTGATTAAAACTTAAAAGAACTCAAGAAATAGAAATAAAAAAAATCTTACAAAAATAGAATTGCAAACTTACAATCTATAAAAAGTTGTGGATGGATGGAGAAAAGTGAAAACAATAGCACCCAAATGAGGCTTAGCCGCTGGACAGAATGCTAAGACGAGCGGCGGGCGGCAACGACAACAAGTGATTTGGGTTTGGAATGGGACAATGAAAATTTTGGAGAAGTTGAAACTTGGAGGAAGAAGGGTTTGGAAATAGTTGAAGAGAAAGAGAACACTTTTATTTGTATTTAATCAAATAAAAGAAAGTCAAAGGAGTAATAATGTAATTAAAGTCAATAACAATTATATAAAAAAAATAAAATGTGCCAGCTGTTTTTCCTTAAAAAAACGTGCTTGGAGCCTTTTTTTTCTTAAAAAATGTCTGCAGCAAATTTCTCAAATAAATAGGTACAAATAGGATTCAAACCCGCAACATCAGCCTTCTAAAGTTGCCCTCCTGCCGTGGCACCACAAACCAGTTTTGTTCTCTGGGTGGCACGCCAATCCTTGAGAAGTTCCATCGATATCAACACTGGATAGTGCAAGATAGTAGAAATTTCTTGATCTATTACTCCCTCTATTTGTGTGCTCTCAACTATTTTGACTTGTCGACAATGTAGTGTAACCTGTTCCTGAGTATGCTCCTCAGTATTATTAATGTCCTTCATGTTAGTCTCAATTATGTTTATTATTTTCATAAAAAATAAAATGTATACTTTCTTCAAAACAGCTGGTTAATTTTTTTTAGTACCCTATAGGCTTTACTATGTGGTGAGTACCCTAGGAGATTCCCTCATCACTTCTTGCATCAAATTTACTCAAATTATCTTTCCCATTGTAATGTATAATACATCTGCAATGAAATGTCTTTAAATGAGAGATATTAGGCT